TAGTTTTTTACTCTAGAAGGCCCATTATTGACACTTGTTTTTACATGAAGAATTTATTGATTTTATTCTTTACCTAAATTAAATTTAGATTTATCTTGGACTCTTGAATATCAAATTATCAACTAATTCAGATTTTATTTGGCTTTGTAAAGGAGCAAAACCGAAACCAACCCAACCCGACTCAAACCGACCAGGTCGGTTTGGCCTGTCAGTGGGTCGATTTCGGTTCCCACTTTAGCTAACCCGACCGGGTCAGGTCGATTGGGAAAATCCCAAGAAACTAACCCAACCCGACCCGTGAACACCCCTAACTGTGGATGATCAGGACTCGAATAGTCCTTTTTTTTTATGCTGAATTGAATAATTGTGAGCCAATGTTTTGAACCTGTTAACCTATTGATCCGATCAGTATTTCAAAGTAAGAATATATAAGGCACATGGTATACATGTATACAGGTATAGGGAAAGATATAAATTAACATTGAACTATCAAAGTTAACTTTAATGACATGTAGTTCCTTTCATAAAAATTGAAATACTGATCCGAACCAAAAAATTCAGTTTTGTTTTCGGTTTTTATTTTTTAGTTCAGATTTTTAATTTTTGATTTATTTGATTTGATTTTTAATTAAAAAAATCGAATGTTCATCCTTAGGTTTTGATGCTGCGCAATCCGGGCACTCCTAGCTGGCTGCGGACTGGCTCCTAACTGGCAACGGACGTCACCTAAGAAGAAGACGGTGAAGAATTCCCGGGGGACTTGCCCGATAGGAATACTCCGATGCTTAAGTTAGAACGCTAGAGAAAATAGTGAAGAGTGTAAAAAAGGCTAAGAGTGTAGGTCGCGCTACATCACTGAATTAGCTCGAGAGCAATTAAGCTCAAGATAAGATCTCAGATGTTCGAGAGAGAGAGAGAGAGCCCTTCCCTTCCACCAGGGGGCTCTTATATAGGCGTTCTTGTCAAATCGGGTGTAACCGCCACTGGGCTTCTGTCGCAGCCGTTATCAGACAGGGCTGCACAGGTAACCGTTGCAGGGTACTACCCAATCTGGTGAGTGACACGTCCTGGGAGGACAGACACTCCACCATCTGTCTAGAGACGTTGGTGCAGTCTGTTGAATTGGCAGGGACTGCGCCGTTAGTCAAGAGACGTGGGTGCAGTTTAATGGGTATGGCCTTGTTAGATAGAAGCTTCCTGAAAGCATCGCGTCGCTTAGTCGCGAGCTACCTTGTAAAGAGCTATCCTGTCGCGAGCTACTTTGTAGCGAGTTCCTTGGGATACTTCGAGGTGACTCCTCTCAAGGTTGCCTTTGGGGCAGTTTTTCTGCCTAAGTGTTGAAGCGAGCTGGTTATCCTAGCTCGTGAGCTGGGATAGACTTGTCCTGGAGTATTCCCTTTCAGTAGCTCGGGGTACCTCAAGCTCACGATGTAGTGAGCTTCCCCTATAGCGAGATATGGCATGACGAGCGGTCCTGTGGGCTCGTTACTCAGTCACGGACAGGCTGTGGTGCTGAGTTGTTGCTCGTGCTGAGTCATGTCCACGTGTCATCGTCTCAAGGGGTCAGGTCAAATCACCCTCCATCAATTTCCCCCCACTCCTCGGGCTAAGTATGCTACCTTAGCGTGAAGAGTTCATGAAGTGTGACGGGTGGATTTGACCGAAGTTCAAACTTGATTTACTGCTCGCATTAGATGTGTGCGCGGAAGTCAGGGGATTTCTGACTTTTTGAATGCCGAGAAACGCGCCGAAGCGACTCTTAACTCTGGATGTTGTGCAACCGTCATTACCTCGATCATGGGAGACATGCAGTCAGTCACATTTCGGTTTCAGTAGACGTGCGGTCAGCTTGACTGCGAACCGTCAGATCTGTCTCAATCTAGGCCGTTAATCTGGGGGTACAGTGGCTATAAATAGGACGGCCCTCAGGCCTCATTTTCTTTCACGCTAACTTGTTGTCTTTGGATTCCGAGGTCGCACATCCATCTTGTCTGCCCGAGCTCTTCTCCTGTTCACACCGTTTCATCTTTTCTGGAGAGTCTAATCATTCTGTCAATCATGTCTGGGTATCCGTACCACGTCCACTCCCATGACAGAAACCAGAATGACGCCCCCTCGAGCTCAGGGAGAGCTTGGGAGCAGGCTTCGGAGGCTCGGGAGGCCTCCGTCGAGGTGGCTTCTACTTCTCGGGGCAGGGAGCCCGACAGGTTCAGTCTCTCCTCAATGACGATGGAGAGACTTATGTCTCTAGTTAACTACTTTAACCTTCCCGGGGACCTCATCTATAGTCTCCCCTCCGGTAACTTTCCCTGGGAGCATGGTCCCAACGACATAGTGATTTTCCAAGAACAGCTCGAGGCTGGCCTGCGTCTTCCTCTGCACCCTCTAATAGTGGAGGTGTTGAATCATTTCAACGTCACCATTGACCAGCTCCATACCAATGCTATCTGGAATGTAGTTGGGACTATTTCTCTATGCTATGAGTATTGTCTTCCCCTTGATCTTGATATCTTTTCTACCATTCTCTACATCAAGAATGCTACTCCCGGAGCGCCTCCGGAAAGGCGTTCCTACTACTTTTCTCCCAGCCGCGGCTTCAAGCTCTTGCACGAGCAGAGAATAGGGTCCTGGCCTGTAAGCGGGATTATTTTGTGGTCTGTAATCCCGAGGGGTGGCCCTTCCCAACTTCTTGAAGGGCTGCCATCCAGGATTCTAGGGTTGAGTTGGACCCTAAAAATTGAAAAACGCTGCAGTCCTGTGCAGCAGTAGGTCTTAATTGTTCGAACTACTTGACCGAGGAAAAGCTCGCGTAGGGTGGTCTGAGTCCGGGTAGGTTGCTTTTTAGGTCGCGTAGTGCCTTGTAAATATATATATATATTTACTGGACTAATACCTTGTCGTTTTTTGGCAGCCATCATGTCTGGTGTTGACGCGCACCGCCTTCTTTCCAGCAACTAGAAGCGTAAGGCGAAGAGGTCTCGTCCTGATCGAACTTCCACTTCTGGGGGCACTGAGTTCGAGTCTGCTGAGCCAGACTTTGTTTCTTCACCACCTGAGGCTCCACCGGTCCCATATGAAGGAGTTGTCGGGGAAGGTGGCCCCGAGGAGGGCGAGCTCCTGAGGCCAGGGTTGTTTCCTTCTGGGCCAACCCGTCCATTCCCTTACCCGTAGTTACTGGTAGAGAACTGGGAGGGTGTCAATGACTACATCGTGGCTGGGCAGAAGAGCCGAAGGGCAATCTGCCACAAGGAGGTCGCTAGCTAAGGGGAGATGGAGCCCAAGGCGCTCGCCGCGTTTGCCGCTTTTCACTGTATGATGGTAAGTGGTCTTTTCTCTTTCTTCTCGTTCTTTCCATTATGTTCCTTTTTTCTGACCTTAGTCTCTTGTTGGCAAGTGAAATCCGCCATCCACGCCATGGCCCTCCAGACCAACATCCACTCCAGCGACTCTCGCAA